ACAGGTACAGTAAGACCACTGCCTGAGACAACAAACTAAGAGATTTAACAGGTACAGTAAGACCACTGCCCGAGACAACAAACTAGGATATTTATCAGGTACATTAAGACCATGGCCTGAGACAATAAAATAAGAGATTTATCAGGTACATTAAGACCACCGCCCAAAGCAACAAACTAAGAGATTTATCAGGTACAGTAAGACCACAGCCTGAGACAATAAACTAGTCAGATTACATAAATTATTTTTTAATGATTATATTGTTTACTCTAATGTGTTCAAAAACACACAAATACAAGAAATTCTTAATTATTCTAAACAAAACATAATTATTGGATTGAAATTGATAAACAAGATATAATGTTGGCAAAATATCATGATACCAAAACTGACACATACAACTTTGTTTCCATATTGAAAGGAGAGGTCATGAGGTCATTGCTCATCAGTAAATCTTTGTCATTCATACTTTGGTTGTTTAGTTATTAGTAAGAAGTCAACTGGTAATATAAATATACTAAATCACTATTTAGAAAACTGATACTAAGTCTAATTCTATTTGATTCAAAATTTTCATATGAGAATAAAACAAAACAGGAAATATCGATGATAAAGGGTTAACGCTAAATGTTTTTCTTTGATTTTTAAGTGACAAAACTAATATAATACACTAAGGATTATTCAATAAATAGCTTTGTAACTATTGTAACATAGTAACGAGTCTTGAAGCATCAAACATTAAATATTATCTGAATAAAATCTCCAATATCTATGTTTCTTCTTTTTACAAATAACTGTGTGTCAATCCAAGCTCTAATATATTTTTACATGCTTTTTACAAGAAATAAATTGAAGTTCTTTTACTGGACAACTGCAAGCCTCACTAACAGCTATTAATTTAGGAATGATGAGGTACTGACGCAGCAGAATATTCAAAGAGTCCGTAGTAAGGATTAAACATCTCACGAGACAGCAGAAAGAACATTTCACGAGATGCTCCTCCGTAGTCTAAGACCTCTTCTCCATCAAACTCAATCCACAGTTTTGTCTTCAGTAAGTCTACTCTAGAGACACTGGATACAATTCGATACATATCTTCCAAGATACTGGCACGGGAAACTTTTATTTCAAACTTATTTGGGACATTGCTCTAAAAAAAAAAAGAAAGAAAAAAGAAAATTGCATTCAAATATAAATTAAACAAAAAACAAACTATATTTAAAAATAATCAATTTCTTATGGATTCAAAAGAGCTTCCAAGCGGGGAATGAGAAAAAATTAAAAAGTGTAACTGATTGCTACAGTACAATGATGAGCTAATAATGTCAAAGAAACATTCTCTCTCAAATCAAGCAGACTAAATTTGAAATTATCTGTAAAAAATAAATATTTTTTTCAATTCTAACAGCATTCAGGTTGTTATCTTGCTATCATGCTGATAAATAATGATCATTCTAAAACAAAACTGAACCTTTCGGAAATTTCACAAATTCTGAAGGTTTGTAACTGTGCATAACTATTTCATCATTCATTAAAAATCAGGGTTAAAAATAATCACTGTATAATAACAATTTCCACCTGAATAAGAAATGTGCTCCATCTCCATTATCTAAATTCATTTCTAGATATAACAAAGTGCATAGCATAATGTTATCAATCATACAGCAATATCTGGCTACAACATCTGTTTGTGTAAACAGAAACACAATTAATTACGATGGTCATATTAGCAGCTAGTTCTACTATACAAGAAATAGAACACACAATACTCTAAAGCTCATACAAAGGCTGCTTTATATATTACAGAACTTGGACTTACAGGCTTAGGAAGTTTCGTCTTTAAGTATTCATACTTTTGTTTGTAATCACGAGAATATGGCACTGCCTGAAAAATAATTATTTTACAATGTTAGAAATTACGGATATTTTTCTTGGAATTAAAATAAACACTGCTTTACATGTTTCCACCACACTTTTACATATTATCTCAAAAATGTTTGTCACAATTTTCCACTTCATGAAAAGGGTCAACAGAAATTAAAATATGTTTGAATCCTAAAACCAGCTAAATACCAGCCCAATATTATGTTAAAAAATTAGACCTGAAACCAGCTAAATACTAGCCCAATATTATGTAGAACAATTAGACCTAAAACCAGCTAAATACCAGCCCAATATTATGTTGAAAAATTATACCAAAAACCAGCTAAATACTAGCCCAATATTATGTTGAAAAATTATACCTAAAACCAGCTAAATACTAGCCCAATATTATGTTGAAAAATTATACCTAAAACCAGCTAAATACTAGCCCAATATTATGTTGAGAAATTAAACAAAATAGTAGGCCAATAAATGAGGTATTTTCCCATTATATTTTTATGTACTTAGACTATTTACCCATTTAATTTTACCTAGTGTACTAATTCATCCATTAAGGCTCACTTGTTTATATTATCCAGAATGCAATATATGGCTGTATGTCACATCCACAAATACCAATACATTGTTAGATGCCTAGCAACAGCAATGCAATACTGACGGTTACATATCATTATACAGTTCTTTAACATCTTTAGTTAACATAGATAGTTAAAACTTTAAATCCATATACTGACGGTTACATATCATTACACAGTTCTTTAACATCCATAGTTAACATACATAGTTAAAACTTTAAATCCATAAACTGACGGTTACATATCATTATACAGTTCTTTAACATCCTTAGTTAACATACATAGTTAAGACTTTAAATCCATATACTGATGGTTACATATCATTATACAGTTCTTTAACATCTTTAGTTAACATAGATAGTTAAAACTTTAAATCCACAAACTGACGGTTACATATCATTATACAGTTCTTTAACATCCTTAGTTAACATACATAGTTAAGACTTTAAATCCATATACTGATGGTTACATATCATTATACAGTCTTTAACATCCTTAGTTAACATAGATAGTTAAAACTTTAAATCCATAAACTGACGGTTACATATCATTATACAGTTCTTTAACATCCTTAGTTAACATACATAGTTAAGACTTTAAATCCATAAACTGATGGTTACATATCATTATACAGTTCTTTAACATCCTTAGTTAACATACATAGTTAAAACTTTAAATCCATATACTGAGGGGTTATGTATGTTTACACAGTTCTTTAACATCCTTAGCTGAAACTTTAAAAACATTCAAAAGTATATCCAAATGCAATAGCTACTAGGGTGCCAAAACAAGCCCACAAGTTAGGTATCCCCTCAATCTGGCAACACCGTTCAAAATAAAAACTATTACAGTGCCAAAAACAAGCCCACAAATTAGATACCCACTCAATCTGGCAACACCGTTCATGATAAAAACAATTACAAAAAATACACATTTTTTTCAGCTGTAATATAACTGATATATAGTAGGTAAATACATAATACCATTTAATATAATCTAAAATAAAGTTTAGATTAACTATTGTTTTGTTGGACTGAAGAGGACGTGTGAAAGTGTCGGAGCTTGTGTCCATATCAAATCGACATTGCTCTGTAATATTAGATCTAACTCATAAAGTTTCACAAAAATATTTAATTTAACAGAACAAATTGCTTAGCTGTAATGTAACTTTTAAATTAGACTGCTACACCGTAATGTTACAAGTTCTTCTCTATTCAATAGTCTCCAATTACCTTTTTGTGGTGTGTCACTTAATCACAATAATCAGTGTGAATGTGTGTGTAATGGCATTGGTGAACAGTTTTGTCTAACAACCAACAAAAACGACTTTAGGAAGGAAATGCAACTTTACAGATAATTAATTTATTACACATTTAATCAGTGGATGGAAACAAAATTTGTGCTAAACATATCTCAACTTTTAACGAACAGGTCTTGCAGCCCAAATATTAGGATTAAAGGGGCTGGTAGTAGCTTTTAGGCTGCCTATGGGGGACCAGGGTTCTAAGCTATATGGCTACCAACAAAATAAACTCCACAATAACTGATGAAAAAATAAAGGTATGTAAGGTTTCTGAATGATGGGAAGTTCCAACTTGATGGCATCATCATTCCCATTTTCTTAGTCCATTTCCTGTTGCTTACATATCAAAAATTCAAGTATAAACATCCTGTCAACTTCAACAAACAGGAAATTCCAGATTAATAACACCTTCACAAACTATACGTCTGTCTCGGACTTTAGGAAAGTGTAGGAAGAAAAGGACTTTGAGGAGTTTAAAAATACACCAATCCCATATAATAATGTAAGATCTTTTACTTTCAAATTACGCAAAGACTTTACTTGCAAGTATTAATTTAAAGAAAGATTTATGAACCTTTTTTACTTGTTCTGTACATTATTACACAAAAAAAAACATTTTACGAATTTCAAAATACTATAAATAACAATGCCTTTAGAATTGATATAACTTTCATTTAGTGTTAAATTTATTGAAACAACATGGTCTGAATACATATATTTTTTTAGAGTTTTCGTAACATATATTTTTTATACTGTGACAAGAGTACATGTAATAAAAAACATTTTGCAAAAAGTACAGATGATGTAGGGATGGCAATGCCAAAAAGCACAGAAACAAGGTAGAGATAAATACACAAAACCATACAAAACTTCCTACATAAGTAGTCAAATCTTTCCAAGAAAAACATTTATCTATAACTAAATGTTGAATTTCTATCAGTTGCATGAATTCAGGTTTGAATAAAAGCATTTAAACTGAATAGTGCTATACAGTCTTACAGTGGCTAATAACCATATGCTTGTAAGATTGAGTCAATGTTTACTGGCTACTTATATAGGAACTTTTGCATGGTTTTGTGTATTCATCCTTATCTTGTTTCAGTACTATTTGGCAATGCCATCCTTACATCATACGTAATTTTTTTATTACTTGTTCCCCCCTCTTTTTTTTAAACAAATTCTTTGAAGTATGTTGATAAGTGAACATTTGTTTTATATTTATAATTCAATGATAATATATATTGTTAATATCATATCAGTTTCTGCAGGATGATACAAGTACATCAGAGCACTGGACTAATGCTAAGGGGATATTTACAGAGCCCACATTTTCCAACTTCACACCAATTCACTGCAGTTTATAAAATTGACTCCACCACATGCTAGGGTCATATCAATTACAGGGAGGACATGAAGTATGACACTACACATACACACAAAGCTGCCAAGCTCAGCCCCACTGAAAATTTAAAAAAAAAGTAAACTGCTATATAATGTATTGTTTTCATAATTAAGAAACTGTTGTCTTTGAACTCAGACATTTGTCAGTTGTATAAATACTTGATCTCCTTATATATTAAATTAGATTATTCCTTCTTTCTTTATTTATTTGTACTGAAACTGTTTTGGCAAATATCATGTTTGTGCAATGAAAAGTCACTAATGGTTGTTATATAATTTATGCTTATAACCTGAACTCATTGCTAAGTAGTAGCTTTCCTTTTCATTATTTCCCCACAAAACTACATGTGGTAGAAAAACAGAATAATATTACTGTTATACAAGATGTGAAACACTGAATAATGGCATTAGGTGCTCATATAAGGCTAACTTTAGCAGTTATTTGTAAGCATCATTGAATAATAGATTGAATGTGACAGCCTTTTTTTTTTCTCGGACAATTCTACCGTGCTTAGCAATAATTTGTTATTTATTCACACACACACACACACACACAATATAAAAATTTAATTTACAATTGCTAAGCCTACCTTCAGAGATATGAAAGTTTATTAAGATATATTTAAAGATATTACGGCACAGTTTTAAATTTGATCAAAAAATCCTTTAATTCTGTTCAGATCAGTCTTAATAGCAACACCAAGGTGCCAATTTATGCTATCTTAATGAAATAAAAATTTAATGAGGTAAGAACTACAGTAAAAACAAGCAGAGAATAGAACTATTGAAATTAATATTTCATAAGGTAAGAAGTAAAGTAAGAACGAGTAGAGATTAGAACTATTGAAATTAAGATTTAATGAGGTCATACAACTGTAAGGAAAGCAGAAACTTATCTTAATATACTTTAATTTTCAATTTCATTGAATAACTCAACACATAAATATTTCACTTTCATAAAATTTAACAAAAAATACATACAGGACCAGCAATGTTTGGGTTGCTTAGTCGAGGATCCTCCCATTGTGTAGTCCTTGTATCTACAACACAAAAGGATTAATTCACTATTCCACTTTAGTTTTTACTATTTGAAAAAAATCCCAACAGTAAAGATTTGAATAATATCGCTTTAGATAACAATAAAACTGGTAACAAACAAATGATAATACCAAATGTTCATTATTTTTAGTCTTCCAATATACACATATTATTGTTTTATTCTTTACTTTGTTTTTGTTGAAATAATTGAAACATAAACGTTCTTTATGAATTCTTTGAGTAAAAGAAATTCAAAAACATACACATCATGTACTAAATGTAATGTTTTACAAAGTATCAAATCTTATGATCAATAAAAACTAACATCAAAGATTACATAAACTTAAAAACTGATTTTAAAACATTTTTATCTACAAATACAAAAGCACACAAATAAAAAATTTTGAAGCTTCATTATCATGTATGTTCTCATGTGAAACTCTCACTACTAAGTATTAACTATCTATATAATCAATTTGGAATCAGCTGTCAGTTATGCATTTTATTTCCAAATCGTGTGGTAATAAATAGTAGTTCAGCAAACCAGAGGCTATAACAGCAACAACAGTAAGGTGACGAGTAAGTCCTTGCTTTCCAACACAATCTATTGTGTCCTTTCCATGCCAGTAAGTCAGCTGTTCTGCTTTAAAAAGCATTAAATGTAGCAACACGTGGGAGTATAAAACTAGGTACCGTCCTCCGTAACACTCTCCATACAGCATACTCCTTTGTTTTGTAACTTTGTGTAACAATCCTTGTATAATTTTCTGCTGCTTTTTGAGTTATTTTTGCAGAGTCCTTTGTAAACATATCAACTAGAATGAATCTGTTGTCTTTACTAATAGTTACCTCTGTTGCTAAATTTGTTGTTTTATGTAGTGATGGTTGAAATGCATGGTCAACTGAGCTGTTTTTGTACTGGGTTTCAGAGTTTTCAGATTCTAGAGAAGTTACTAAAGTCTTATGTTTATAATAGTTACAATCAGATACATATATCAGTGTTGAAGAGGTGTTATGCTAAATCTACAATCTAATATGATCTGACAGGGTGTCTACGTTTCTTATTTCAATCTCATTTTAAACATAAATATACCAGTTTTAGTTGTTTGTTTTTTTCTTATTTTGGATGCCATATTTGACAGCCTGTGGAAAGTCTATAACACATTTACTTGCATCGGGTTTTTCTTTGGCATCTGGATCTGACATGAAGGAATAGGTATGTTCACTGATGGAATATAACAAATGTGAGCAGATGAGTAGGACCTCTACTTTTCATCCCCGTCACAAAGTAATGTTAATATTTTCAGACACAACAGGCTTATATTTAGAGGCAAGTGGATGACCCGTAGTAGGAATCCAAGCAGAACAACAATCATAGCCTCCCATTATTCATTCATAATAATTGAATCAGTTATCAGATTATCTTTTGATAAAATTTACTGCTGCTTATAAATATGTTAATGAATTCAAATGTCGCCTCGGGTAAAAGAATTGAATGTGTGATTACCACAGTTCAATGATACAATGCAAATTGCTACGTGATTTTGAAGACAAGATAATGTGGGTCACACACGTGTAGTGGTTTTGATTCTAACAATAAACAGGTGCTCTTGGAATAATATTATAAACATTCACTTGATTCAAATACTGCCGACCTTAGAAGTAAAGAAAGAACTAGTCACTCCCACTCCTTCCATAAAAACAACACAACAAATACCTCTACACAGTGATCCAAAGCCAAACAGACTTTTGATATTGTGATTAAACTTACTGTGGTCAATGAAAAATATTCGACCGTCGGTGTGGACACGCTCTTCCCACCCTTCCTGTAATCAACCATGAAAAAGAGGCAAAATATTCAAGAAACAAACACTGTAGGCTCATAAATGTGGATAACATATGAATACTGACATAAGTGATATTTTCTCTTCCACATGGAATCTTAGTATGCAAACAAAAACTTTAATATAAAACTAACAAGTATAGTTAAAGATCTATTAAACTTAGAAATAAATCATCAGTTCATTTTACCAATAACTTGCTCATTTCATTTCACAAATTTTCAAAAGAATAACCATTACCTAATGTACACCATATTTCATACACTGTAACATAACAAATTGAACAATTTTTTTGATTTTTTATTTACAAATTGCATGAAATAAATGTTACAAAATATCAATTAAAAATACTTCTCAGTTAAAAAATCATTGAAATAATATTAGAATTATTGTTCACACTTAAATTTTGAAATTAGATATTCATTTGAGAACTTAAAGGTGCTAACTAGTCTGTATAGAGTTAAAGATTTACAGGTCATAGGTCATAGTTTTACAGTATTTGACTGTTATTGCTAACCGGTAGTGGGCCAAGATCATCCACACTGTCAAATCTAGGCCTATTTGGAACATTGTTCTGATTTGGCAGCGGGCTAGGTCTGCCAGTCCGAGGATCAACCTATAAGAATGGAAAAACTGAATAAATAACATCCACGTTTTCAGACCTTGAAACTCTGGTCTTAACATTTAAAGCATTTCCCTATAATTAATAATCTGCAGAGTACTAAAAAACAACTACTGTTATCAATTTATTATACAAAATTAACATAATACGTTTACTCTCCTGCAACAATAAATGCAATTTTAACAAATCTACAGACACGTAACAACTTAAACAGATCACACACTCAACACTGCATAAGTAGTAATAACAGGTAAGGATGTATTACAGTTAAAATAGTTCGATGATATAACCCACAGTGCCTAAGTAGTAGTAATACATATAGATTTATCACAGCTAAATCAGTTGACTAATGTACCACACCTTTTATTTGTGACCTGTTCTATCTCTTAACGGATCATGCACTCAACAGCGCATAAGTAGTAATAACAGGTATGGATGTATTACAGTTAAAATAGTTCAATGATATAACCCACAGTGCCTAAGCAGTAGTAATACATATAGATTTATCACAGCTAAATCAGTTGACTAATGTACCACACCTTTTATTTGTGACCTGTTCTATCTCTTAACATCTTAGTGAATTGGAGTAATCTACTGGTTAAAGAATATCACTTATACAGCTCTCTCCACAGTTTTTAATGTTTTAATGAATACAACGTAAGATTGATTCCATATATCAACTGACATACCCATGTGGTAGACTTTAGGTTGTGATCAATGAAGAATACACGTCCATTAGGAGCGACCTGCATGGTCCACCCTGCAGGAAGACCTTCCGAAGAAATCTGAAGGTTTGTCAACTGCGAAACCATGTTTGCTGGAATTGGCTGGAAAATTTTAAAACAAATCACTTTCAAGACAACATATTTTACCATTAGTTTAAGGTCATCAAAATATTTGAAACGCGGGAGCAAAACTCGTATTAAAAACATAATTAATCACAACATAAGAAATTAATCCAAGTTTTTTCAGAATCCTTCTTCAGGTGTTAAAAAATAATCTACTTTACAGAAGCAATGAAGTTACCGAGTTTCTTATTTAGTAACTAATTTTTGATCCTGCATGAATTTTCAGTATCAGAAAAAAATATAATGTATGTTTTTGTACACTAAGAAAAATTTATTCTCTTAAATTTTCTACAAGTTAACAAAATTAGGCTTAAGTTATTAAACTAGCTTACTGTGAAGGTAGAAATACTTATTTTGCTCTAAAAAAACCAATCACTTCTACACAATGGCCAAATAAAAGTTGTCAAAATTTATACAAAAAAATTTCTCTCTCAAAATCTGTAAGAAGTTCATAATTTTTTACAATATTAAAAAGGGTCAAAATAAGTTCAAGTTCAAGCCTCCAAAAGTTTTTATAACATGGTGTTTGTTTGTTTAGTTTAGAAAAAAGCCACATTGAGCTATCTACTGAGTCCACTATGGGAAATCAAACCCTAGAATTTAGCATTATAAGATCATTAGCTTACTGCTGACCCACTGGGAGGCTATAAGCTAGTGAAACAAATGGCTTCACTTGGCTGAACGAGTTAAAGAGTTACATAAAAAGATCAAAAGAAATAATTTATAAGTTGCTATACAAAATGATCTAAACTAACACATTATTTCTAGCAAAACATAAAATCATGGAAATACAAATAGATTTACTGTACAAAGTAAAATAAAAAACATAATTCACTGTAATAAATAAAACTACTGTTTATAGCAAAAAATATATTCAAACAATATCCCAATAAAACTACTGTTTATAGCAAAAAATATATTCAAACAATATCCCAATAAAACTACTGTTTATAGCAAACAAAATGTTCAAACAATATCCCAATAAAACTACTGTTTATAGCAAACAATATGTTCAAACAATATCCCAATAAAACTACTGCTTATAGCAAACAATATGTTCAAACAATATCCCAATAAAACTACTGCTTATAGCAAACAATATGTTCAAACAATATCCCAATAAAACTACTGTTTATAGTCAAACAATAAGTTCAAACAATATCCCAATAAAACTACTGTTTATAGCAAACAATATGCTCAAACAATATCCCAATAAAACTACTGTTTATAGCAAACAATATGCTTAAACAATATCCCAATAGAACTACTGTTTATAGCAAACAATATGTTTAAACAATATCCCAATAGAACTATTGTTTATAGCAAACAATATGTTCAAACAATATCCCAATAAAACTACTGTTTATAGCAAACAATATGTTTAAACAATATCCTAATAGAACTACTGTTTATAGTCAAACAATATCCCAATAGAACTACTGTTTATAGTCAAACAATATGTTCAAACAATATCCCAATAAAACTACTGTTTATAGTCAAACAATATGTTCAAACAATATCCCAATAAAACTACTGTTTATAGTCAAACAATATGTTCAAACAATATCCCAATAAAACTACTGTTTATAGTCAAACAATAAGTTCAAACAATATCCCTATAAAACTACTGTTTATAGTCAAACAATAAGTTCAAACAATATCCCTATAAAACTACTGTTTATAGTCAAACAATAAGTTCAAACAATATCCCAATAGAACTACTGTTTATAGTCAAACAATAAGTTCAAACAATATCCCAATAGAACTACTGTTTATAGTCAAATTAATTTAATAGCTGTGCTACTGTCAAAGGTAAAACAAGTGTTACAAGTGAAACAATCTGTAGAGATTAACAAGAAGACTGCGGTGTAAGTAATGACTGCTTGGAGATAAAAGTTGACCTATGCTCTTATGAAAGCAAAACAATAAGTTACACGTGTTGTAAATTGTGATGTAAGTAATATGACAACAGACATAAGTAAGTAAGTTTGTGTGTAGTTAGTGCATTAGAAAACAATAGTTTTAGTTCTGACCATACCACCATACTGACCTCAGAATGTCTCCTATTATTAGGGGTTTCAGCTCTTTGAGATTCCAATATCTATAATAATAAGAAACAATCCAAGTTTAACAAGTCGAGCAACTCATCTATATATGAGTAGGACACTTGCTAGTTATGCTTCTGAGGTTGTCTCAACTGGTGAAATACTACCACTTACTTATGGTAATGTAAACATAAGAATAACTCCAACAAAAAACACTGTCAGTTATCTGAATTCGTTATGGACAGTAAGAAGAATGCTATGAGATGGAAACACTGTTAGTAATAACATAAATAGCATAAATGAGGAAAACAGTCAAACTTCTCATTAATACTTACTTTCAGCTAAGAGCAACAAAAATATTAACTTAGAAGAATATTTTTTAAAGAGTGACTTAATAAAAAATTGGTATTTCATGAACTGGAAAGTGGTTCAACTAAATTTTAGGCTATTTGTTAACAAATAATTTTGATAAACCATTATGCTTTTTAACTCTCTCTATCGCAACAGGGTCAGTTGATTTAAACAAGATTATAATCATTTTGTACTCGTTATAGTTTCCATACTATAACTTTTATTACAGTAAGTGTTTCTTAACAAAATTTGACAGACTTTTAGTAAACATTGCAAGTCTTTCGTACACAGAAAATCAGAATTTTTAATGAAGTATTTTTACTTAAAATTTGTCCATGAATTATATATATATATATATATATATACTTTTTTTTTTACAGTCTGAGTACAAAGTGATTTCCACATTAAGATTAAAAATACTTTTTTCATCTCAAAAAGTTTAGATTTCATTTGCATCATCTCTAAAATCTCCTAAATAAATTTCAAATGTTATTTTATTCAGTAAAAACTTTACATTTCATCTGTTATTTTCTCAACTGTAACTCTATACAAGGTTGGTCAATTTGACCAACCTCGTAACCACCAAAATAAAAATCGAAATAAAACTAAATTACCCCCTTTTCTTTCTAAAATGGCTTCAAATTGTAACATGAAACTACATTTGTTTATCCTAAATAGCTTAAAACTCGTAACAGTATACACGTATTTATACTTAAGTTTTGTTTTATTGCCATTTGAACCGTATCTAACTACTATTCATGCTATTATAAGTAGTAAATCGCTTGGTGAATGTGCACCACACTATTGAATTACATTACACACGAGCTACTCATGAGTGTACCTCGTGGAAAATTAAATTATAATTATTATTATTTATTTTACCTAATCTGACCTTAATTAAACTAAAAAGTTTCCTATTTTTACATTTTAATTACTTTTATAATAATAAATAAAGAATATACATGAAAAACAAGAAATAAAGTAGTTACCTGGGTTTTCTCTTTTTTCTTTGTCGACTGTCAATGACACTCTTAACCCTACTTTTTATTTATTTTTTTTATACATACTAATGGTAGTACTGCACTAAATAATTTTTTATGTGATTAAATAATGCACCAAAGAATAATTACATGCAAAAATCAGAATATTTCCAATAATCTTTCTGGCTTTCTAAATATGTGACAAGAGCCATTAGAAAGTCAGCTAACCTCATTGATTTCTTTCCCATGGGGAAAAAAGCTTGAACTGGAAGTGAAACTGACAATATTCTGTACAGAAAACAATGTAACACAATATGTCATTAGACTTTCTATTTATTATAAATAATATGGTATTGAAACATCAAAGAAAACTATTGACAATTTTTGAAAGATAGGTGAGCATGGCAAAAGGAGTCTGATTTTCTATTTGACGGCTGTGTAACCAAATAAGACTGAAGACTATAAAACTTATGATTTGCCTGAGTGATTACAACAATATAACAAGTAATTTACTTTAAGTTTTGTAGTGCTCGGAAGGATGGTAAATAGATTAGAGAAGAGGAGATGCCTAGAGAGAAAATGTCACAATTCTCATACCAGGGGAAATTCAGGACTTTTTTAAATATTGCCTTATAAAATTAAGAACTTAAAACTTATTAAAACTATTAAAATATAGAAAATTTGATATGTTTTTATGCTATATTTATTGGTATACCATGATAAGAAAGTAGCTTAATTAAATTTTTAACATAACTCACAAAAACTTTGTGACATGTATATTGATGTTTGTTTACCTAACAATCTCTAAAAATAAAAATCTTTAGTTGAGAATAGCAATTTAAAAAACATTATGTATAATTAATTTATCCCATTCACTGATTAGCTTATGGTTGAATAAATACCATAAGAAGTATTTTCCACTTTTAACACCTTTGTTTTTATTACACGCAGGAGAAGCACAAGCTCACTTGACTTAATGTTTCAGAGTTGTCCCTTCTTTCATTTTCGTCAGATCGATCTACACTAATGTGAACTCTTCTTCTAAATTCTTGTGCTGAAGCCAAGCTACGTTGTTGGACTTGTTCTTCTATGGGTGTTGCTCTAAGATTGAAAACCAGGTTTATCAAATAAAGCTTGATCAAAACAAATGTCCATTCCAAGATACAAAACAGCAATATTTAGTGTACCACCAGCAATTCACTTCAATTCAATTATTAGTATTAACCATTGCTTATTACAGCCGCTATGAAATTTCACATTTACTTTTAGTAGAACAGTGATGACAAAACAGTTTATGCTATCCTAGTTTTTTCAATACTGCCCGAGATGCGAGATCAAGTTTGTGAGGTATGGAAGACAGTAGGACCTCGCTATCGCATGCAAATCTGTAACTTAGCTTAAATGGCATAGCCAAAGCTATGAGACCAGAAGATATACAAAATAGAAAAAGGGAAAAGTCTGCAATATAAATATTGTTTTGTTAGTTTTATATATATATATATACTTTTACTTTATAAGTTACTTGGCTAGACAATGTTGTGAAAATTAACACCATCATGTGCATATTAATATATTAATTCAGCTTGTAACTGTATGTATGTCCAACTAACAATACCAAATGTGACAGGCAGAGTCAGAAGTTGACATGAAGAGTGTCCCTATTTATTCAGAGTATCCCCCCCCCCACCTCCTACATGAGGAGCTAAAATTCCCCCAGGAGTTTATCACACAGACATGATGGAATTCTAATAATAGATTTTCAGGGTAACTGAACCCAAATCTGGCATTGGATTGAGACTTCCTGGACCCCATGGGATGCAGGTGGGCATGTTAAAAACTATGTTCATACTCCCACTCGTAAGCTCAAGTACCACAGGGTTGTTGAATTTTTTTCTGATACAGGCCCCCCTTGGTTTAGCTATAGAAATAACTGGGGAAAATGCAGGAGCTTGATCAATGTATTGGGGACTTCTGTGAATCATGAGAGAACCGTTGAACCCCACTGAAGATTCTAAGTATTTTATGCTGGTCATATTACACAGTATTGGCAATAGAAAGCATACAACTTCAGTTTACACATTGTGAAACTTCTTGAAAAAACTTTAATAAACCAGAAAGCTTCAAAATCACGACTACCAGAATGAGCAGTTGGACTGATATATCAGTAAAGGTTCACAATGCTAACAGGAATCAAACACATTAACAACGAACTAATAGTACAGAACACACGGATCACAACGAAAACATGGAATTACTACTATATGAAAAGCACTTTGATCTAGGGTACTGTCAGTGCTACAGAAAAATATTCAATATCTTTGCCACTTTCAAAATGCTTTCAAAAATATTTCTTATCCATTTCTTTATTATAACAAGATTGTTTCAAATATAATAACATTTGATGTGGTCAAACAAGACTATTATAAATATGAAAAGCTATAATCTCCATCAGCCAGACTCATGGGGCTTAGCACTTCTGTGAGCACTCTCTCTCTTTGTAGCTATTACAGTGAACAGGCTTTATTTTCCTTATGATATGTTAATTAACTTTAAGTTGCTTAATTACAAACAGTTGCTTTAAATTCATATTAAAAATAACAATACACAAACAACTGGATAAACTGTATGTCAGAAGTTGGAATATTGGATCATGTAACTCATCAACATTTAAAACTGGATAAACACGTGTTGTATGTCAGAAGTTGGAATATTGGATTATGTAACTCATCAACATTTACAACTGGATAAACACGTGTTGTATGTCAGAAGTTGGAATATTGGATCATGTAATTCATCAACATTTACAACTGGATAAACACGTGTTGTATGTCAGAAGTTGGAATATTGGATCATGTAACTTATCAACATTTACAACTGGATAAACACGTGTTGTATGTCAGAAGTTGGAATATTGGATCATGTAACTTATTAGCATTTACAACTGGATAAACACATGTTGTATGTCAGAAGTTGGAATATTGGATCATGTAACTCATCAACATTTACAACTGGATAAACACGTGTTGTATGTCAGCAGTTGGAATAGTGGATCATGTAACTTATTAGCATTTACAACTGGATAAACACATGTTGTATGTCAGAAGTTGGAATATTGGATCATGTAACTCATCAACATTTACAACTGGATAAACACATGTTGTATGTCAGAAGTTTGAATATTGGATCATGTAACTTATTAGCATTTACAACTGGATAAACACGTGTTGTATGTCAGAAGTTGGAATATTGGATCATGTAACTTATTAGCATTTACAACTGGATAAACACGTGTTGTACGTCAGAAGTTGGAATATTGGATCATGTAACTCATCAAAATTTACAACTAGATAAACACATGTTGTATGTCAGCAGTTGGAATATTGGATCATGTAACTTATCAAAATTTACAACTGGATAAACACGTGTTGTATGTCAGCAGTTGGAATATTGGATCATGTAACTTATCAAAATCTACAACTGGATAAACACGTGTTGTATGTCAGCAGTTGGAATATTGGATCATGTAACTTATAAAAATTTACAACTGGATAAACACGTGTTGTACATCAGCAGTTGGAATATTGGATCATGAAACTTATCAAATTTACAACTGGATAAACACGTGTTGTACGTCAGCAGTTGGAATATTGGATCATGTAACTTATCAACATTTACAAATGGATTATAAAGGTACATTTTAAGAGCTTGGTTAAATATATTAAATCTAAAATTACTTATAAATTAATGTTGTATTTCAGTACTATTTACTATGTTTGAATCACATACCATTAAAAAGAAACCAAAAAATATGGAAACTCGATTTAAACCCTAACTCACTGGTAAAATTTGTCCTTAAACTAGTCAAGTCTATCCAGTTGCATCAAAATGTAATTCAAAATATTTGAACAGTGAACGGCATCTCATCTTAACAGGTGAAGCTTGGAGCATCTTGATGATGAGATAACATTATTTAAAAATACACTAATTGAGGCTATTAAAAAAAACACAAAGAAAAACTACTCATGTCTGTACCCTGTGGGTCTGTCCCATTGTGTGGTTCTAGCTACGTGATTCACATAGTACGTCCTGCCATTTGCATCTTGACGTTCCTCCCATCCAGTGGGAAGAGAAGGAGGGGCTGTTGTTGAAGATGGCATCATTACGGGCTGAGCAGGACCCTCTTCCTGAACACTGCTTGTTTCAGAGTCAACTATATCCCAACCAGCCTAAAAAACGCATATCCAACTTTGAATTGAAAGTTTTCTTTAAAGTGATCAATAAAACTTGTATCCACATCTGACAAAAACTATTATAAAAATCATCCCTGTCATATATAGCACAATATAAATTACACGTTGACAATTTTTACTGGTAATGAATCAAAACAAATTTTTATCTGTAATATATTAGTACATACACTACAAACAGCAGTAATTTCTATTTGGATGAAATTGTAACTCTGTAAACAACATCAATCAAAAATCAAAGCCAGATGTAGGTTTTATTTACATGTAACTTTTTATGCCTGCAGTAGTGTGTTTTAATTTTCTCACAAAAAAGTGACAAAAAATAATATCTTAAAACATAAAGAATATGTTTAATAAATAGAATAGTAACACAGTAAATTAGGGTATAAATAGACCCAAAAAACGAGAAGTGTAGAGGAAGAAACATTTGGATTTGAAATATGCATTCATAAAGAATGTGTTTTTTTTTTTTTTAAACTGCATGTTCAATACATATTTGAATGTTCACTATGTAGTTTATCCATAGCAAGGTCTGCACTCAACTACAACAAAGTGTGATAACTATTGAAGTTGATTAGAAATTAATCTACACGAATAGTTTTAGTTTTGTAAACTGTAATTTCAAAAACTAGAAAAAAACAAAATCCTCCTTACCTCATTTTCTTGATTTGAAGTTGTCTCATTGTCACTATCTTCACAAGGCAAGAAGGCATGATAAACTTCTAGATGGCCTTTGACTCTTGACCTAGGACTGTTAAAACAAAATAATGGTGAAATACACATATATTCACAAGTTATATACTACCATGACCCTTCTCTTGTAATAGTGCTCATGCCAAAAGAACTGGTATATGAATATCACCATACTCTACTGCGTAGAGTTTAAGCAATTCCACAGCCAGCCAGTTAGAATTAAAACTGCCAACAAAATTAGCATTTCAGCTTGCCTATTATCAACCAAATCCACTGAGGGTAACGTACTGAAGGAATTAGAGACCAATGGACAGCATCTAAAGTAAAATATTAGTTTCATCACTGATCACTTGGTAGTAAATATACCATTCAAAACTAACGAGTTCAAAACCACAGGCCAGCATATGAGAAAGTGGAATCGGTGATCTCTGATCACTGGTTTCATCTCTGTCAGAAAAATAATTTTCATTCTTTGCTTATTTCTTTCTTGTAATGTGAACCCTAATTTTTCTAAAACTTGCTATTTATTTTAGATAATTTTCCATACCTGTTTATATAAATAAATTAGCTTAACATCTCTTTTTCAACAAGTCTCCAGGTGTCACCGTTATTTTACTTAAACACTTAAGTATAGTTTTATTTAGTTCTTTTTTTAACCATTTCTAAAGCAAACTATCCCTAACACCTTTTTACATAAAGCTCTAGTCGCTGGTCACGTTGTACCAGAAATGAAACACACTTACAACATGGAATAAGAGACTAAACATTACTTGGAAGATCACACGACATCACTCAACTCCCTTTATATATCACTCATTCTATTACACTATCATTCCCAGTTTGTCCCTGAAGAAGAAAGGTCCATCTTTTGAAAGCACTCGGTTTACAGAGTTTGCATGAAGAGCTAGTGTTAAGTCAACTTTCCATGGCATTTACTAGAACCATTTTTTTTTTAGATGCCAAACAGACTCTTGGAATTAATGAACTGATTTTTAGTCAGTTTTTAAACCTATACATCCATAAATATTGCATTATTTTGATTTTGTCTTTATCTTATATATCTACAATGTTGTTCACTTATATTACATAGCTTCTTTTCCATACTTCTTTCCTTAGTTAACTGCATATTGTTTGTCTTGAGTGACACATTTTCACAAGCACAACTGTTATTTGTTTCATGTTAAGCCTGACAAACAGGGGTTGCTCAAAATGCTGCTACATAAAAGAAATTTGTTTCAATTTCAGTGTTGTGTTTTTACAATGATCTTATCTTACTGTTATAACACCATTTAACACTGCCACGATTAAAGTAAACACAAACCTGCGAGGTCGGAGGATGTAGTACTTGAAAGGAATGTTACGTCCAGGTTTTTCCGACGGAATATTCTGAAGAGGCAGTTCAACCATACCTAAAAAGTCATCTCTTGTCTGAAAGTGTAATTATAAAGATATTACATAAGAGAGTAGATGATCTTTCATCTGCCTCACTAAATCATTTTGCAATGTTAAACATGATGATCTTTCATCTGCCTCACTAAATCATTTTGCAATGTTAAATATGATCTTTCATCTGCCTCACTAAATCATTTTGCAATGTTAAACATGATGATCTTTCATCTGCCTCACTAAATCATTTTGCAAAGTTAAACATGATGATCTTTCATCTGCCTCACTAAATCATTTTCACCATAACTCTCACTCAGCATGGTTGTATTCTAACAATATAGAAGTTTTAGTTGCTTGGGATTAAACTTGAGATTTTTTTAAGCCCTTGCTAAGTAATGTACTTCTAATCGAAAAATAACCATAAAATCATTCACTTTGACTAACGCTCGTCAGCTAATACTTCATAATTTAAATAAACTTTAATCTTTAATGAGTATAATTCTATTCAACTCCCTCTGTTGTCAAAACTATCAGCTATCTGTATCTCTAACTTAAAACAAACATATTCAAATGACAGAGCAAAAGCCACAAACTAAACCTTTTCTATAGAAACCTCTATAGCTATTACACACACACACACACACACACACACCTTCAATATAAACAGGTGAGGCAAAAACAACAACAAAGATTTAATACGCAAACAAAAATAAGATTGATTTAATTATTTTTGACAACAATGTTTTTTCTGAAAAGCAACAATTCCTCAATTCGTTATTAGATGTTTCTCGAACGTGTTTCACATGTACAGTAACAAATCAAAGTAATAAATAAGCTCTAAATTTTGTTAATATATCTACTCCACAATGTAAAATTAACTATTTTAATTCCCAGAAATATTTTTCTAGCTCACAAAACTCATAATTAATATAAAACTGTTTGTTCCTTCTTTCTGTATCCCAAATAATTCATAAACAACACTGTTAGTTCTCGACACCAAAGCTCAAAACATTAATACAACAGTTCACTGACACTTTTAAAGAATACACTTCTATGGGTTTTTATTTTTGTTATAGTAATTCTTAATGACATAAAATTTGGTAACATTACACTACACACTTGAGAGATTTAAGACTGTGAATAACATGTTTAATATCTCCTCCTTGCTGTGATATCACGTCGCAGGTTATTGTATACAACACCATGAATACACCTCTTGAGTTACCTCAATCCTTAGGCTCCTGTAAATTGCAAATTACTTTCCAATTATTACAAGGAAATGTCACACGGTACAAATCAAGTGACATCAAAAAACAGCATGATCCAAATTCATAGACATCAAAGAATCTGTTCGTGGGGACATTATATATAAAGGCGTGGTGATGAAAACCTAGCTTTGCTACTGTGCTGCCATCTGCTTGCATGTGAATTTCCCAAGTGTGTGGTGCAATCATATGAAGTTTTATACTGTTCACAAACCATTTGGTAGAAAAATTACCCGACAGTACATAAAGAATCACAACATGGTTGGAATGTCACACTAGGTTATTACTACTGTTAGTATTACACGTACCAGTCTGTTCTCGTCGAAAACTTCTAACACCAGCTTGTGCTGAGTATGTTTAACCTGTAAGATAATTTCCATTTAAGGTAATATAAACTGTAACTAACAATGTTTAAAATATCAAGTCAATACAAAACTGAAAATAAGATTAAAAATTAATTAATTAACTATACAGAAAACGTAATAAATAGAAATATCAAAATTAATCAACTTATACCATTAACACCCTCTCTTTCACAACTCGGAAAGCTCAGTGGCTTAATTACCCGAGATCATTGAGACTTAAGCCAGTTTTGGAGAAATTGGATAAGATTATCAAGCCTGCTCAGTAATATTATAGCTGAAAATGCAAAATAAATATGTATGTTTAGATCATGAATTTTTAACAGTATAGAGAATTTGTCCTACTTGGATACGATTTTTCTACTTTATCGACGTAAATCGTGAGAATTTTGTTTATTTACACAATTATAATTTTAATTCATTTGTACTTGTCTAACTTTTATGGATGTAATAACTGCAAGATATCTAGCAAAACTCATGATAGGCAGCTTTGATAAAAGATATGCTCCAATTTTCTAAATGCTGCCAAAACTTTTACAAAGTCAGAGCAACATGTTCTTTGGTAGATCATATTCGATTCCTGGACTGTATCGTTGATTAGCTTCACTTCTCAACTCAAGCATCATGTGTAACCATGTAACCATGTGTAATATGCATGTTCCATGAACAAGAAACATTTATATGTTTTGTACACATATAATTAATATTATATATTGTATTTGAAAGTCATTAAGATACACTAAAGTTAGAAACTAATACAAAATTCCATTTCCCCCATTTATAGGGCTTCTATACAATTACACTGGATGTTTTTTTTTTACTTTTTTCCTGCTGTTGTTCTCATTCTATAAATATTTAGAGTATAAATGCAAAGTTTCAAGTTCTGTCAAAAATTAAAGGAGAGGCTCAAAAATTAAGTAAATATAAATTCATATAATTAAAAATTACTTTGTAGAGGCTTATAAAACATACCCTAAAAATGAATTCTTCATCCCACCTCGGATTCAAAGTCTGCAATAAAGTGTCATTAAAATTAGCTTAAATAATTCCACATACACAAAGAATAATAAGGTTCTCCAGCTTTGATTTTACATACATATTTGTTATTTAATTTTCATCTGGGCAATATTCACCATAATATACATATAAATCTTCATTTTTATGAAGAAATTTTATTTAGACTTTTTTTATATAAAGTAAAATAGTTAAGATTAAGAGAAAAATCTGAGAAGAAATGTCTGTTTCACCTTTCTAATTTTTCACGATATTTTAGCTACATTTCAGTCCACACTTAAACATAAGTCGCATTAAGTATTTTATTTACATGTTACTTCTATACTCAAAGGTTGAAGTCCACTTCACTGATGTCTGAAGGTGTATTTTGAGTCACATTTCTTTACACTTACGGATTTGACTGCAAGCACGTTACAGAATGTTCCAGGTTTATTTCCAAAGCTTGTACCATTTTTATTTTAAAAGTTTAATGATACATATGTACAAATAATTCTATAAAAAACACTTTTTTGTAAACTAAAATGCTTGAATTTTTAAGACTAACAAATACAAGTATAAAATTTTACCTAGTTATTTATTAAATGATAGCATAGTCCACATCTGTGCCGAAACATATACTGATATTTTTATCTATTAGCCCTTATTGTCGACCACTTATACGAGTAATCAAATAAATCAACAAACTATAAAAGTAATAATATTCAATATATTATTCTCTTTTTTTCCAACAAGTATAAGATTTAAGTTTCTTAAATATAAGTTTTGTTTGAAACAAAATTAAAGTAGTAATAAGAGAAACTATAACAAGATATTTTGAATGATATAGCTTTTAAAAGGCTTTCAAGAAATGTTAAAATAATACTATACCGATAAACATGCAAAAATGTCAATTAGCAAAATAAAAAGAACTACTATATTTTCTTAAGTCTGACTTTTCTATTCTTTGGACTACTACGAGTGCACTGAGGAAAAATATTTTCGTTCGGCAAAAACAAGTTGTAATCCATGACTTGTAATTAAATAAAAAAATTAGATAAAATAAAAAAACATATGTTAATTTATTTCACTATCAAGAATAATTAATTTGTATAAAAGATTCCCTGCATTCATTGCTATGTGCATTGCGATACAATTAGTGTTAAAACTTTAGTTCTGTCAAAAAAACCTATCAACATTTAACACGTGCTGAATCTGGAAAAGTCTAGTAAAGGTGGGATCACTTTATTTATCAAATCAGAATTTCAAAGCAGTAAAACTGAAGATATAGGTCTCAAGTTCAATAATTGGTAAAAAATAAATCATCTTACAAAAAAAATTAATTTCCTCAAAATGAGAATTACATCTATAGCAGTGTGTTATCAAATAATGGTCTGTCATACACACACTTTGCCGTTCTGTTGGATTTAAAAAAAAATAAAAGAAAACTGATAGAATATTCATATGTAAGTCATTTTTCATTGTACTTGCTTTTGAATGGGTCACAACAATTTAGGGAGGCAGCAAACTGGTCTTTGATATCAAACAGTTTAAGAAGTATTGATCTTTATAAAAACACGATACTTAAAGGAGCACCTTGTCACTACAATAACAAGATTCAGTAGAAAAGAAATAATCCTCTGTTCAGAATTAAACTTTTGCTAACGTTGAGGTTTAAATTCGGGTTTCTGGTACGTTTACCACTTCAAAGAATACATGACAATAATTTTACCAACGTCTAACCACAAGAGATTCAGATCCCTGGACCTCGATACATAACAAGATATCCAAGTTATTTCGACATCCTTCTCAAACATTTGATACATTTAGTAATTAAAATGTAAGCTAAAAAGATAAGAGTATACAAGAAAAATTAACAATTATTTGGAGTGCACACGAAAAAGCATTCACTAATATTCTGTTTATGCCAAAACCACAAACGATGGACACCAGATCAAAATATCTTGATAACAGTCTACATGAGCAGGCATTTATGGTGACAACAGTCTACATGAGCAGGCATTTATGGTGACAACAGTCTACATGAGCAGGCGTTTATGGTGACAACAGTCTACATCAGCGGGCGTTTATGGTGACAACAGTCTACATCAGCGGGCGTTTATGGTGACAACAGTCTACATCATCGGGCATTTATGGTGACAACAGTCTACATCATCGGGCATTTATGGTGACAACAGTCTACATCATCGGGCATTTATGGTGACAACAGTCTACATCATCGGGCATTTATGGTGACAACAGTCTACATCATCGGGCATTTATGGTGACAACAGTCTACATCATCGGGCATTTATGGTGACAACAGTCTACATCATCAGGTGTTTATGGTGATAATAGTCTACATCATCAGGTGTTTATGGTGATAATAGTCTACATCATCAGGTGTTTATGGTAATAGTCTACATCATCAGGTGTTTATGGTGATAACTGTCTACATCATCAGGTGTTTATGGTGATAACTGTCTACATCAGCAGGTGTTTATGGTGATAACAGTCTACATCAGCAGGTGTTTATGGTGATAACAGTCTACATCAGCAGGTGTTTATGGTGATAACAGTCTACATCAGCAGGTGTTTATGGTGACAACAGTCTACATCAGCAGGTGTTTATGGTGACAACAGTCTACATCAGCAGGTGTTTATGGTGACAACAGTCTACATCAGCAGGTGTTTATGGTGATAATAGTCTACATCATCAGGTGTTTATGGTGATAATAGTCTACATCATCAGGTGTTTATGGTGATAACAGTCTACCTTAGCAGGTGTTTATGGTGTTTCCTGGTTGGTTTATGTAATTCCTTGCTCAGAAAATGGCATGTGACTTTGCTATTTGTGAAAAATTTGTACATAACAATCACCAGGAAAAAATTCATAGCAGCCAAACCAATGATGGACACCAGATCAAAATATCTTGATAACAGTCTACATTAGCAGGTGTTCATGGTGATAACAGTCTACATTAGCAGGTGTTTATGGTGTTTCCTGGTTGCTTATGCAATTCCTTGCTCAGAAAATGGCATGTGACTTTGCTATTTGTGAAAATTTTGTACATAATCACCAGGAAAAAAATTCATAGCAGCCAAAAAAAAAAACATGCTTAATTTTCAGTGATAAAAGATTAGTTTAAGCAGACAAAAAAAGAAAATGTAAGATACTATAAAAAACATGTTATAGTATCATATTATTCATAATTTTTCAAGAGAGATTTCTGATGCTTTCTTATCTTTCCCGAGCAGTGATTTTTAAAATGAATACTTATGAACTTCCTTTCCTTACAATTTAGGCATGATCTTCAATTATAACTGTAATTAACTCAAACAATATCAGCAATTCTAAATATCCTGTTTTTGGACTCTAACTTTTTATGAGGATGCTTTTTTTCTCTCAAGAAACCCTGTTGAAGCCCTACAAAAATTTACTAAAGTAAGTGCTTCCTAATGTTCTTGGAACATACTAAAGAGCAAATATGCTTCAATGTAATGGTTGTGATCATGTTATAAATGAAACCTTTATAGTCATTCACTTCCTATTTTTGTGTCTATGATATAATCTACTGAATTGTTTGTACACTTAAGGTATATTTCTAATAATAAATACAGAAAGAATTATAAGACAGAAGACCTTTCGTATACCAAGTGTTGAGTTCAGGAAGAAAGAAAAGAAAATTATTAAGTGTTAAATATACACATTCACTTTGGGGTTAATAATTCTGGAGTTATCACCGATTCTTAACAAATGTGACAAGTATTACCATAGCAAGTTATATTTTAAAAGTTTAACAGAAACATGAGATACAAATTCCATTTTTGTATGTAAAGTCACACACTACTCCGCTGTTTAGGTTTACATCTACAACAAGCACTGTCATTGCATGGAAAATCCAATTAAGAACATGTACATGAATATAAGCGAAATATCAAACTTGCCTTTTTTTTGTTTTAGTGTAGACCGAGTCAATTACACTTTCTTCTTCTCTGTCTGTATCTCGAGTCTCTGTTTCAGTTCTCATTAGATCAATTCGAACATATGGATCACTGAAATGCATTTTTATTAATAATAAACAGTGTCTATACACACAATTTTATGCTATGTTCTTCACATAATTTCTTATTTAAACTATGACCAAAAAACAGTCTCATTCCAAATTGAACACATCTAGTTACACTTCCAAAAATGAAAATTATTGCACATTTTTTTAAATGTCCTGATATATATATATATATATATAGTAAGTAATACTAACTACTAAGAAAAACGAAAAACGTAACGTAGAAAGAAAGTTACGTACCTTGTTAGTTAAGTTAAGTTAAACTTTTTAGTTTTT